GAGGTGGTCGTCAGACAGATACCCAGAGGCTCATGGTAGGAGAGGAATTCAGTTTTCTTTGGAACACAGTGGTCACGCTGGGGACTGGACCAGAAATCCTCTGGACATCTGGTACATTCTGAGGAGTCTAAATGTTGTTGAAGAATAAGGATACAGTAGCATATTGAACTACCATCCCAAAAATCTTCACACTTACCAGTAGTGTTGCTGAACTTTCCCTCTGAACAAGGAACACAGTCGAAACAACACTCAGGTTCCCCTTTCTTGTGGGCCATACGAGTTCCTGGAGGGCAACTCTCACTGCACACTGACCTGGGGGGCTGTGTGATGACAAATATATTTGTTTTATTTTACATGTATTAAGGACAAATAGAATAGTGTCTATTTGTAACACATTTTTAACACTGACCTGATTGAATACAAAGTTCCAGAAGATTTTTTTTTCGTCAATCATGAGCTCATCAATTTTGGCCGACCTCCTAACCTCACCAATATTTTGAACTTTAGTGCTTCCATCAGGAAGCCACACCCAGTTCATGATGTCATAGATGGGTAAAGCGTCACCGTTTTCATCAAATGTAACCTGATCACCAAATGATGTGGTGAAGTTGACTTTTTCCAAATAAAACATGAGCTAGAGATAGACATGAGAGAAAACGTTAACATACAATAATGTGTGGAAATTTAGGCAAAACCACTTACCAGAATTAGGAGGTAATTCATTTTTAAGTATCTATGGTCAGAATCGTAAGTCTGCAATCAATGGATTAATTTCTTACAAGCAGCTAAATTGACATAAAAGACACATGCTGCTCTCTGTAGATGACTTTAATTTGTACAGGGGATCCTTAGTTTACGATGACCCAGACCTACAGCGGGTATTAGTTGGTGAGCAGAGTTGACAAATACAGAAGACGGCTTTGTTTGCATTCGCCGGTTGTACGTATTAGATTGGGCTACATTCAATTTCTTTGGCGTGTTGTTTTTTTTTTTTTTTTTTTTTTAACTTTTTGCCTACCCTTGTGGCTCCCAAACGTACTTACTTATGTACAGCATATTAGCTCCAACTTACTTACTTTTAAGAATTAAGTTATGTCGCACTGTAGGAATTGAAGTCGGACATAAGTTTGAGGACCCTCTGTACTGCTGAACTATAAAAAACACACCTGCCATGGTTCCAGTCCTTGTAATTGAGCACAGGTGTCTCCACTGAAAGGTCCTCTCCCTGGCTCACACTGCAGCATGTCATCAAGAGCATGTGCCAGAGCATACACAGCCTTATACACATTATACTCTGGTCTGAGGTCTGAAACATCAAAAAACTCTTCCTCCAAAACACTCTCAATAACTTCCTGTCCAGTGCACAATTGTCCTCCAGTTTCAATCCAACCTTCTGGAGGTGGAGCAAATCTACATTTAAAGATGTGTTCCCAGAACTGATTCACCTGGAATATAATAAGAATGTTATTTCATAACATTATATACACTGTATAAATAATGACATGACTGTTACTGATTTCTCACCATGTTATATTTAGAAATGTTGTTCTGTTTTGAGTCAGGATGTATCTTCAACAAAAAATTTCTCAGGCCTGAGATTTCTCCTCGTGGGATAGCGATGCCCAGAGTTCCCCCGAGGTATGGCATGAAGTCTGAAGTCTGTATCTCAACATTTGAAGTCCAGGCTTCACTGGCCATCCACTGAAGGCCTGTCAAGTTCTGCCTAACAACCTTTTAATTACAATATTACAAATATTTAAATTGTTGTGTGGCACTTATGCACCACAGTTAAATATCGCTTTATCTTTGCATATGTGTCAAAACCTGTCGATTCTACTATATGTATGAGTCTATCATTGCTTCCAGTTTGTTTTACTACTAACATTTCTCCTAAAATTTCACAGTGAATTAAAATTCACTGTGAAATGTGACAAACTGTCCGCTTCAATTCTGATTTTTATAAAGTACTCATTGTTGTAAAGTTTTAGAACCCACCTCTGCCATTAGTTTGAGCATGTGACTTTCAAGAGCAAAAACAATGACAACACGAGCAGTAGATTTCCTCATCACATTAACTATTCTCTTCAGTTCAGCTCGGTTGTCTCCCCAAGGCAAAACTTCAATGTAAGCCAGACAACCTCCTGCAATTGGACCCAAGTCAGAGAGAAAGGCTCGAGCAGCATGGACTCCATAGTCATCATCACTGATGAGCAGACCTGCCCAAGTCCAACCAAAGTGTTTTAGAATCTGAATCATTGCACGGACCTACGTGGACACAGAGAAGAGGACTCAGGTCACAAGCTGTAAATATTATTTACTAAAAATCCTGTTCAAACTATGTGTTTGTATTTGACAGCACAGCACTCTACAAATATGTGTTAATGTTTATTGAATTGTTTTAGACAAGGGTATACAATCTATATTTTTCTATGCATCATGAGTTCAACAAAATTAATTTACCTGAAATGAATCACTGGGAATTGTCCTAAAAAAGGATGGAAACTTTTCTCGGTCACTCAGACAGGAACATGTGGCAAAATAACTGACCTGAGGTAAACACAGAAATGACATGTTTCATTTGCAAATTTGTTCTCTCCTGAAGTCATGTCCTCCACAATGCATTTGAAGTTAAATGACTAATACACTTACCAGAGGCACTCTGTACAACCCAAGAACTGTGGAGATGGCAATAGTAGATGTAGAGAAAGAATCACCAACAATCCCTATGACTGGAAGACCTACACAGGTCTCCTCTGATGCCATCACTCCTGCTTGACCACTGATTAAGGACATTGCTGCACGAAATCCGATTGATAACTCAATGCAGTTATCATAGAGACTGTATCCCAGAGTAACATTAGAGAGCAGGTTGGGATTTCTGTTAATCTCATCAATAGCAAAGGCCATTGTCTGAGCCTGTCTGAATCCTGAAGGATCAAAACTAACACAGTAACATCAATTAATAAAATGTATTTGTTCATATGTTTATGAATGAAAACATAACACATACAAACACATACATTGTAAAAAAAAAAAAGAGAGAAAATATCTAAACAAATGAGATGATATTTCACTAGTTTTTCAGCTACACACTCACCCATAACAGACAGACTCCTGTGGCTCTGAGGTAAAAGACAGGTCAGGAACAGTAGAAAAGAAATTGACTGAAAACAATCCTCCTAGAATTACATCTCCTGTCTGGTGAATCCCATTCAAGTTAAACTGTCCTTGTAACTGACAGGTGAATGAATACAGAGAGGGAAATCTAACTGTAAAAACACAGACATAGATTAATAAAACAAAACTCATCTCTTGAAATGATATCATTGCTTTCCCCCACTTCTCTCTACCCTCCACCAACTGAAGGTGAATCACTGTGTAACTCTATTTAATTGATCAACATGTTGTCATATCCAGGCTATAACGCCCATTTGGGAGAGGCTGTTGGGGCAAGGACTATGAGTGTATCTCTTCTGAGACAGAATAGTTTTGATAATATCTAGCAGGTAGGTAGAGGAACAAAGGGCAGTTACTCAAGCCAAGAGATCCTCTCAAAGTCTTCTCGGATCGGTGATAAGGAGGATGAAAAACAGAATAAAAAGGTGCAAAGGATGGTCTTACAATTTTGCCTCAAAGTGTACGACAAGCCTTACATCTGATCATGCTTATAGGCTTACCTTTTTGCATTGTAACCAACACTTGTTGGAACACCTGTTTAAGTATTATTACATCTACAATGTTTCACAGAAGGTTTAATTATGTGGGCTTAGTTCTGGAGCCTATATACCAAAGGTTTTAAGCACTGTCTGTTTGATGAAATAAGAGTTTGAATAAAAACTTTTTTGTGTGGAATAATGATTTATCAGATTAATCGATAAAAGAATCGACTGCATACTCTTTTCCACAAAAATAAATAAATAAAAAATCAATAGTTGAATCAGAATAAATGTAAATGTGGAATCAGGTCATGGTGGTGAGTGACATACAAAAGATATTTTCAATATTAGACCAAATTCTGGCTTTAATAGGAAATAAAGAATATGTGAGGTCTGTCTCCCTTTCCTTCTTTCTGTTTCTGCTGTGTTAATTAGATTGATCACACTCACCTGCATCCTGATTCCTTGGTAATCTGTCTCACTCGTGTCACCTGATGCCCTGGGTATGAGTTTTTGTAGTGGTTAGTTAGATAATGTTTTGTTTTCTGACTGTTTGCCCCATCGTGCTTTATCATTGTCTTGAAGTGTGGGGAAAAAGCATTTATACAAGGTGTACCATGTTTATTGTTTATTGATATTGATTGCCCTGTTATCATTTGGTTAAATTCCATACTATATAACCAGTCCTATTGAAATTTAAATTGAAACTCTGTACCAAACATTGTGTTGTCAATTATATACACAGTCTCAACTTCAGACAGTTGATTTGCCCAAAATATTTGATATGTCAAGAAAAATAGTTTGAAAGGCTACTTACTTAACACCTAAGCCTCTTACCCATGTTCTTAGCTTTATTACTTTTGACTTCCTGAAAATTCCATTTATGTCACCTCTGAGAACCTAACCGCTATGTAAATCAAGACCCCAAGATAATATGTCAAGTAAACCTACATCAGCTTGTTGATAAGGAATTGAGAACTATCTTCACAGAGCAATTGATTTGCATGCGTCACACAAGTAGAGCAAAACATCTCCATTTTGTTTTCTGGTATCACTTCTATTTCTTTCATTAATTTTAACTGTGCTGTGGTTCATGTAAGGAATTAATGTATTTTGTTAGCATCTATAACCCATTATGGCTTTCTTTGTGTTTCTCTCTGGTTTCAAAAGAATTATATAACATTTAGGTCCAAACAGTGCCACCAATAGGCCAAAACTAGAGGCGAGAATGGCAAACACCTCTACTGCATCTGCATATTTGCCTGGTGAGCTGATATAGGCAGGAACAAAGGCCACCCACACTGCACAGAAAATCAGCATGCTGAAAGTAATGAGTTTAGCTTCATTAAAACTGTCTGGAAGATTCCGTGCCAAAAAAGCTAAGACAAAACTGAGGACTGCTAGTAAACTAATGTAACCAAGTAAGATTCCAAAACCAACAGTGGAGCCAATGGCACATTCATACACTATCTTGTCACTGTAATACTGGGTGTTTTTATGTGGTGCAGGTGAAGCCAAGACAAGCCAGACAGTGCAGATTACAGCTTGAAAACATGTCAGAACAAGAACTGTTCCTCTTTGCTGAACGGCACCAAACCACTTTAAACTGGCCTCAGCTCCTGGTTTGGAGGCCTTGAAGACAGCAAGGACGACCATTGTTTTCACAAGAATACATGAGACACACAGCACAAAGCTGATGCCAAATGCTGCATGTCTTAGTTGACATGTCAGTGGTTGGGGTCGTCCAATGAAGAGCAGTGAACACAAGAAACACAATTTGAGAGACATCAACAGAAGGTAACTTAGTTCTGAGTTGTTGGCGCGAACAATAGGTGTGCTGCGATAATAAATGAAGATGACCAGAACAACCAGACAAGTTAATGTACCAAGAAT